GGGCATTAGTGGCAAACTGGTCAAATCACAATAACATTTGTAGTTTAACTACTAGTAACGTACCGTTGTTAATTTCTTAGTTTTGGGAAATGTACATTTATATTAAGACATTAACATTAGGGGAAACTGAAGGGTTTAATGGAGACTCTCTACACAATATTTGAAATTTTTCTGTAAATCTGAAATTGTTCCAAAATAAAAAGATCCTTTTTCTAAAAAACCATTAAGACACACATACAAAGGCCATCCCAAGAGCAGGAATAGGACACTGACTGCACAGGCCCCTAGGTGTGTATCAGGAGTGGCTATCTTAGAGCAGAAGTTCCCAAATACCCTGGCACCATGGTAGAATTAAAAGGGAAGAGTTTATCTGAACCACTGACTTAGAGTCTCCTGGGATGGGGTCCCAGAGAACACTGAAATGCCCCAGGTGGTTCTGAGGAGGACTCGGGCTTGGGCACCAAGTACCCAGCTCAGCACTTCTCAGACTCAAGGATATACAGGAATCCTCTCGTTAACATGCAGACTCTGGGTCAGGAGGTCGGGGGAGGGGCTGAAACCCTGCATTTCTCATGAACTCCCAGATGCCCAAGCAACTGGTCCTCAGTGCCCCATGTGGAGAAGGCAAAGCTACAAGACAGAAGAGGCCTGCATCCATGACACTGGGGCACTGTGCCAGCCCAGATGGCCATGTGAATGTGAAAGGCAACTGTCTCACGAGGTTGAAACAGAAGCCATTGTTTTCTTAAGTTATGGCCAAACCTAATCCTAACTACATATAGTCGGCACCAAGCAGTCCCACACATATTTTAATGAAAAAATCAACTCCTGTCTTCTCTCAAACAGCATGCACAAACATATAAACATCTGATGCCTGATACAAGTGTATATAAAACTACTGGGCTGGCTCCTCTACCTACATAGGCAGCTCCTAGAGTCACACAAAAATTACATCAGAGAGTAGTTAAAATGGCAATGGTATTTTGGACCGATGACATCTTTTTGGGCAACAATCCTAAAAATTTACCCTTTATTACATTCACGTTTAGAAAGGGGGAAAACTGTTCATGAAGGAAGGCAGGTAACAAGGAAACAGCACTCATTTTCTAAGCTAATGAGAAATTCCTCAGACTAGCAGCAGTAATGGCTGCCTTGGTGGGGCAATTATTCTGAGCCAGGCAATGTCCTGCATTCTTTTCATACTTTGTTCTTCACAACAATCAAATAAGTAGAAATTGCTACCTAACTTTACAAGATAAAGTCATGAAGGCTCAAAAGGCTAACTGGGCTTCCCACAGAAATGGGGGCTCCAATGCTCACCCCAGGTTTAAATGCCCCAGAGCCTGTACTGTGTCTGTCGGACCACACCACCTCTGAGCAGATGCCTCCTGTCAAAGTGCTGGGGGCTCTACACCCTTGCTGAGAAATATGCTGTTCTGTGAGCAGTGAAGTTAACAAGAACAGAGGATGGGAGCCTTCCAGGCTCAGTGTGTCCAGGCAGCCACCTACCCTCAGCCCCAAGCGACTCCCGAGGTTGAACCAAACAAAAGACCATGAAGGCCAGAGCAAAAACCACAAATGAACAAGCTAGTTGAAGGCTCTTTCAAGGGCCACATAGGATACAGCAAACTCCACCTTTAAAAGCTCCTAGGGGGCTTTTCCTGCTGAGCAGAAACAGAATTGTCTCCTCAAAACTGAGCAAGTCCACCCCGAGCAGACATCCTCTCGAACCCAACAAGCATCAGAGCAACACTGAGCAGAAATGATCCCCACCCAGGAAGCTCTCTCTCAGTTATTAATTTAATCTCCATTTATTAAATAAGGACTGGCCACCACGCAGCAGAGAAAGAGCACTCCACGATGGGCACCTCACAGGCTCAAGCCTGTTTCTCACAACGTAAGGGGAGATTCATCACAAACCAGGCCCCATCCTCACTGGCAGAATCAAAATCCCTGCATCTGAGCTGGGAATGTGCATTTTTCACAAGCTCCCTGGGTAATCCTTGGGCACACTCAAAGCTGAGAAACACCAGTTTAAACTCTCCCTGTACTTCTCCAGATGGCGCAGGAGGCCTACAATGTAGTCAAATGTTTAAAAGCTCAGTCTTCAGAGAGTCTCGCTGATAGGCAAATCACTCTCAATATCTGCATTTGTAAAACCAGATCATCACCAAGAATGAGACAAGGCAATGTCATGTGCTTCCTGATAGAATGCCCCAAGAAGGACACATTCTCTCTCCGGCATTCCTGTCAAACATGCAAAACCTGAAATCTAACTGGGAGGAAACATCAGAGAAACCCTCACTGAAGGACATTGCAAAAAAGCTGTCCTGTGTTCCGCGGAGCTGTCAAGGTCATAAAAGATAAACACAAAGATCCCATGCCAGGTCACCGGAGATCAGAGAGACACGACAATAAATGTAATACATGATCTTGGAGAAAGATCAGACCATGGGGAAAATACCTCTACAGGACTTCCCTTTCTCAGGACAACTGATGAAACTTGAGTATGAATTGTGGACTTAGGGTGAGATGATAGTGTTGAACTAATGTTCAATTGCCTGGTTTTTATAAAAAGACTCCAGTTATGTAGGAGAATGATTTTGTTCTTTGGAAAGACACACTATACTGAGTATTTAGGGGCAAAGGAGAATGAGGATGATGCCTTTAAACCACGCTCAGTGGTTCAGTGAAAGGATATGTATTAAAAAATAAAGAAAGCAACAGAGCAATGAAGCAAAGTGTTAATTGCTGGTGAATCTGGATAAATAGAACAAATAGGTTCTTAATACCATTCTTGCCATTTCTCTGTGTTTGAAATTGTGTTGAAACAAAGTTACTCCTTAAAACCATCAGGTCATACAAAACAAGGAAAGACTGAGAAACTGTCACAGACTGGAGGGGACTAAGGACACATGACAACTATATTCCAGTGTGTTTGGTGCTCCTGGATTGGATCCTGGAAGAAGAAAAGGGCATTAGTGGCAAACTGGTCAAATCACAATAACATTTGTAGTTTAGCTACTAGTAACGTACCGTTGTTAATTTCTTAGTTTTGGGAAATGTACATTTATATTAAGACATTAACATTAGGGGAAACTGAAGGGTTTAATGGGGACTCTCTACACAATATTTGAAATTTTTCTGTAAATCTGAAATTGTTCCAAAATAAAAAGATCCTTTTTCTAAAAAACCATTAAGACACACATACAAAGGCCATCCCAAGAGCAGGAATAGGACACTGACTGCACAGGCCCCTAGGTGTGTATCAGGAGTGGCTATCTTAGAGCAGAAGTTCCCAAATACCCTGGCACCATGGTAGAATTAAAAGGGAAGAGTTTATCTGAACCACTGACTTAGAGTCTCCTGGGATGGGGTCCCAGAGAACACTGAAATGCCCCAGGTGGTTCTGAGGAGGACTCGGGCTTGGGCACCAAGTACCCAGCTCAGCACTTCTCAGACTCAAGGATATACAGGAATCCTCTCGTTAACATGCAGACTCTGGGTCAGGAGGTCGGGGGAGGGGCTGAAACCCTGCATTTCTCATGAACTCCCAGATGCCCAAGCAACTGGTCCTCAGTGCCCCATGTGGAGAAGGCAAAGCTACAAGACAGAAGAGGCCTGCATCCATGACACTGGGGCACTGTGCCAGCCCAGATGGCCATGTGAATGTGAAAGGCAACTGTCTCACGAGGTTGAAACAGAAGCCATTGTTTTCTTAAGTTATGGCCAAACCTAATCCTAACTACATAGAGTCGGCACCAAGCAGTCCCACACATATTTTAATGAAAAAATCAACTCCTGTCTTCTCTCAAACAGCATGCACAAACATATAAACATCTGATGCCTGATACAAGTGTATATAAAACTACTGGGCTGGCTCCTCTACCTACATAGGCAGCTCCTAGAGTCACACAAAAATTACATCAGAGAGTAGTTAAAATGGCAATGGTATTTTGGACCGATGACATCTTTTTGGGCAACAATCCTAAAAATTTACCCTTTATTACATTCACGTTCAAGTTCAACTAATTCTGACTTGAACTCTATAATTTATTTGAATGAGTCCTTTGATCCATGCCATGCCATATAACTCTTGCAGAGGTCTTCAACCAGATAATAAAATTTGACCAGAACAACAAGTATAGACCGTAAGCATACAATAGTATCAAGAACATAAATAAACAGTGGAGTTGCTATGGTACCCTAATTTTGAAAAGGTAGAAAGCCGTCTACATCCCTATATTATGGGTTTTATAAAACCTTAAGTGTACATTTCAGCCCTTTTTTTTCCTTAAATCATTTGCTCTAGAACAACAAAAGTAGTTTTCCTGAGATAACCTGTATTCAAATAGTAAATGAGAACTATACCTGTAAGATTGTCAAGATCCAAGCTAAAGGATGCCTTTGTAGGTAAAACCATTTTTTAAATCTGCTCGATATTCTTTTCATTCAGTAAATATTTACTTAGTATTTAATGCATGCCAGACAATAACCTAGACACACAGTGCATCCTGCACTGATAATAAAATTACAATTGGCTGGGATCCAAGACTGAGCCCCTCCATACTAATTCATTATCAAGCTGTTAATGTCTGCTTCTGCAAAAATCGATGAGGAAACTGATTCAAAAAATTAAATTTTGTGTTGCCTATGATAAAATAATCTGCACCTATTCATAAGTCCCTGCCAGGCAGGGCTGGGACAATCTCCCCTGTGTCAGCTGCCAGGAACTCAGGCCATTTGTGCCTCCCGCCTCCCTCACAGCTTCAGACACAAACCCTGTATTGACAAAATCCCTTAGATGCTAGACAAGTATAAAAACTCCATCCATCGCCACCATGTGTAGTACAGAAATCAAACTGCACTGCAACTATTACTGCACATTTTTCAACACAGCCAGAGAAAGAAAGGGAAAAAAAGCACTATCCGAAGTCTGAAAATTCCAGAATAGGAAGAAAACTGAAAATACCTGCCAAACTGCTGCCGGCATTACTAACCTGATCTATTTCCATGAGTTTAGGGTAGGCTCCCGGCCATTCTATGGCCACCTTGACGATGTCCGCAGGTGGAGGCATTGTAAACCCCCAAGAATGTCCAGAGCCAGTGGAACTGGGCTCCTACAGTGTAGACAGCCGCTGCACGTGTCTATACCTAGACAAAAAGAGAAAAAAAGTCACTCGGCAGATGCATGGCGAATTCTGCTTCATCACTTCCTGTTTTCACTGGTGGTTTTAGGTACAAGAAATGGCTCCGGGTGCAGAAGACACAGGGTGCCAACTGTACCACCCGCCGTTCCTGAGGAGAGAGGACAGATGAGGGGAAGGTGCCAACGCCCTGGAGTCAAAGTGGTGCCGAAGAGAGAAATCTTGTCCCTTACCCCGGAGTTCTGCTCCAAAGGCTACCTGGGGTCTGAATGAGCTGGGCTCACTGTGTCCAAAGATGCACATCAACCCCTCGTGCTCAACAGCCTCCGGAAGGACAGATTGCCCAGGAAGTCATGTCAGGAAGCAGCATTTCTTCAAAGTGTTTTCTGTGTGTCACAAATAGAGCTCTGCACTATAGCAACCAGGATATCATGAGGAAAAAGAAATGCCCCAAGGTTCATACACATACACACACACACTCTTTCCCCAAGGCCAGTTCACACAATACGCCTTTGGGATGGGGGGTGGATACTACTGCATTCAGAGCAGAACTTGAATTCTCATTGTAATGAATTGTGTTGCTTACACAAAGAAAGCAAGATTATCCTCTGCCACCTCTCCCAGAATAACCCATTTCTTTAAGGATGACTTTTTTTGACTTAGTATTTCTGAACAGGTAAAAGATTCACATTAATCAAAACTGGAATGTGTGTGTGTGTGTGTGTGTGTGTGTATGAAGACATGCAGTGTAGCATCTCCTTCCTCCCAAAGTCACACACCTACCCAAAATCCACTTTTACCCTCTCTCCCTCCAGCTACCCACCATTATTAGTTCTTGCGTATCCTTCCAGAGTTCTCTCATGTATAAAAGACAAATGGAAAAATATATTACACTTTCTCCTTTCTTTATATAAAAGGCAGCATTTCACGTCTTTTTTCATTTTGTGTTATCTTCTAAACCTTTCTGTGTTAGTACAAATAGAGCATCCTGGTTCCTTTTACAGCTGCATAGTAGTTCTTTGTATGGAAATACCCTTGCTGATGAACCAGTCCTCTGCCATGGACCCTGAATGATTTCTTATCTTTAACTATTATAAACAAGCTATGGTGAACAAACTTATGCATACATCATTTTGCACATGTACAAGTACATCCTTATGACAGATTCACAGAAGTGAAATTGCTGGGTCAAAGAGCATATGCAATTTTAAATTTTGATGACCAGTTCAAAATATCCCTCTACAGAAGTCATATCAATCTACATTCCCTCTAGCAATGGATGAGGCTGCCAGTTTACACATGGCTTCACCAACAGATTGAACTTTTATACACCTGATGCACTGAAAAAATATATTTCAATGTACTTTTAATGTGTATTTCTCTTACTTTGAGTAAGGTTGAACATAAAGAAGCAAAGTCCCATGTCCACTTTTCTGTGAACTGTCCAAATCCTTTGCCCCTTTTTTATTGGGTTCTTGGTCGTCTTCTTAGAAATGAATCTAAAAATCTGTATGAACATTCTAACCAAACATGTGCTTTTGTTTCTCTGTCAGACCAGAGCAGGCCTTGTCAGTTATGATCCCATATGTCAATGGCAGTTGGACATAGTACTGAGAAGATAGAGATAGCAGACTTAATAATGGCAGCCTCAACAACAGAGGCACTTATAGAAATAACTAACTTCACCAGAGTTTTGACAAGGAAAGGAAATGAACCAAAACAAAACTGCTGTTCTTTGCCAAGGATGATACAAGGAAGCCTGCTACAAAGCTAATCAGTGCCAACCAAACAAATCTACAATGCAGTGGTTCGGTCCCTCATTCAACAAGTAATTACTGAGCCCTGCTCTCTGCCAGGCCTATTCTTGGAGCTGGAGATATAGCAACAAATTTAGATGTTAGATGTCATCAAAGGATATGGAGAATCTGAAGCATGTGTGTATATCTGCATGGGAGAGGCAAGAGTACAATTTTAAATAGGGAAATTAGAGAAAGCTTCACTGAGAAGGCAGCATTTGAATAAAGACCTATGACAGGTTAGGAGATGAGCCATGAGAAATAGGGAGAAATCATATCACAGGCTAAGGGAACAGCATGTGCAAAGGCCCTGAGACAGGAGCACACCTGGTATGTTCTTGAAACAGGCAGGTGGCAGAAGCTTAGTAAGTAAGGGTAAAAGTAATAAGGGAATGAGTTTCAATAGCTGTTGGGTCATAACTTAGTAGGTTCATTCACTGTGCTCTTGGTCCTCCTAGACACTCCTACCATGCTAAAGACAAATGGAAAAATATATTACACTTTCTCCTTTCTTTATATAAAAGGCAGCATTTCACGTCTTTTTTCATTTTGTGTTATCTTCTAAACCTTTCTGTGTTAGTACAAATAGAGCATCCTGGTTCCTTTTACAGCTGCATAGTAGTTCTTTGTATGGAAATACCCTTGCTGATGAACCAGTCCTCTGCCATGGACCCTGAATGATTTCTTATCTTTAACTATTATAAACAAGCTATGGTGAACAAACTTATGCATACATCATTTTGCACATGTACAAGTACATCCTTATGACAGATTCACAGAAGTGAAATTGCTGGGTCAAAGAGCATATGCAATTTTAAATTTTGATGACCAGTTCAAAATATCCCTCTACAGAAGTCATATCAATCTACATTCCCTCTAGCAATGGATGAGGCTGCCAGTTTACACATGGCTTCACCAACAGATTGAACTTTTATACACCTGATGCACTGAAAAAATATATTTCAATGTACTTTTAATGTGTATTTCTCTTACTTTGAGTAAGGTTGAACATAAAGAAGCAAAGTCCCATGTCCACTTTTCTGTGAACTGTCCAAATCCTTTGCCCCTTTTTTATTGGGTTCTTGGTCGTCTTCTTAGAAATGAATCTAAAAATCTGTATGAACATTCTAACCAAACATGTGCTTTTGTTTCTCTGTCAGACCAGAGCAGGCCTTGTCAGTTATGATCCCATATGTCAATGGCAGTTGGACATAGTACTGAGAAGATAGAGATAGCAGACTTAATAATGGCAGCCTCAACAACAGAGGCACTTATAGAAATAACTAACTTCACCAGAGTTTTGACAAGGAAAGGAAATGAACCAAAACAAAACTGCTGTTCTTTGCCAAGGATGATACAAGGAAGCCTGCTACAAAGCTAATCAGTGCCAACCAAACAAATCTACAATGCAGTGGTTCGGTCCCTCATTCAACAAGTAATTACTGAGCCCTGCTCTCTGCCAGGCCTATTCTTGGAGCTGGAGATATAGCAACAAATTTAGATGTTAGATGTCATCAAAGGATATGGAGAATCTGAAGCATGTGTGTATATCTGCATGGGAGAGGCAAGAGTACAATTTTAAATAGGGAAATTAGAGAAAGCTTCACTGAGAAGGCAGCATTTGAATAAAGACCTATGACAGGTTAGGAGATGAGCCATGAGAAATAGGGAGAAATCATATCACAGGCTAAGGGAACAGCATGTGCAAAGGCCCTGAGACAGGAGCACACCTGGTATGTTCTTGAAACAGGCAGGTGGCAGAAGCTTAGTAAGTAAGGGTAAAAGTAATAAGGGAATGAGTTTCAATAGCTGTTGGGTCATAACTTAGTAGGTTCATTCACTGTGCTCTTGGTCCTCCTAGACACTCCTACCATGCTTCTTAGTTCGTGACTTGTAAGGAAGAAAATCCATGCCCATGCCCATCTATTCAGAGTATAAATTAGTATACCTTTCAAGAGTAACTGTACCAAAAGTCTTAAAATTTTGTATTCTTTTTCAGCAATTTTACTTTTCTAGGATGTTTCCTCTAGAAATTATTATTAACTTAACCACAACAAGGGCAACTGCTATTTTGGTTATGATTCCCCAAATTTCAAGACACTGAATATTCAACAACAGGGACTTATTAAATAGTTACTGAGCCTCATATGTGCAAAAACAACCAGACAATCTGTACCGGGGGCTTCTTCATAATCTGTACCCTCTTGTATTTGCTTAACAATTCTAAGGACAATGTATTATATCTGTACCATGTCACTTCAATTCTGGATCCAGATTCAATTAAATACCACAGAATATGAATGATAAAAACAAACTCTAATGTAAAAACAAGACTGTGTGACTATCAGGTAACACTATTCAAAACAAAGAACACACAATCTTGGAGGTCAAGAAAATAGATAATTAAAATTAAAATGCATTTTGAGTACCCTCCTCCCATCTCTATACAAAATAGTCTAGAATTACCCTGAAAGAGGTCATCTAACCATCTGGGAATCAAAGGCCAAGGGTGCTTTTCTTCCCCTTTAACTGGTATTTGTTTCTCAAGGCTGTTCGACAAACCTGTCAAACAGGTGAGAATACAATAATGTGGCTCTCCCGGCATCTTCGTGGAGAATCAGATAAGAGTAGTGTACAAAACAGCCCCTGAGAGAGCAGAGAGGCTGGGGGGCATCGCAGGGATTTCATGTCACCGACCCCCACCGAGCTCAACTAGACCTGGCCACTCCTCCCCACATAAACCAGCAGGAGGCATGAGGAGCCCACGAGTGGCGTCAGGTGTACGACTGCAGAGTGAGTAATCCCGTCCACCTCGTTACCCTCAGAAGTCACTTTTTATCCTCTTGAATTTATCTTTCCATGAAGGAACAGTTAGCTCTCAAGGCTTCTATATATAGTCATTGTCGCTTCTGATGAAATTTAGGGAAGGAAGTTTCTAGTTTAGGCTTCCAACGCCTAGCAGTTATTGTCTGGAACCACAGTCCTTTGTTGGGGGACTGTCCTCTGTACTGAAGGGGGGTTAGCAGCATCCCTGTCCTTTACCCTCTAGAGGCCAATAGTTCCCCTCAGTTGTGACAATAAGAAATGTCTCCAAACATTGCCAAATGTCGTCTGAGGAACAAAACCCCCTAGTTAAGTTGTAAGCTAGCAAGTCCTCTAGGACTTGCATGTTGAACAACAACATGCAGGCCCAAGCGTGATCAGGTGTGAC